CCCTAAAGCTGAAAAGCAATGCTAACACAACAGTTTCAATAATGTTAGTATCTGTCATCAGGTTGTCCTCTGGGTCTGTAAAGTGAAAATTTAATACAGAAGGCCAGCTGATGATGTTAAAATGGGCACGCATTGTTACTATTCCTTTGTTTGCTTGTTCATTCAGAAGTGACACAGGAAAGAATTATGAAAAACTGCAACTGCCTGGGAGGCAAAACCTTTTGCGCTATGAGGTGCTACTGACACTGCAAGTCAAATTCACAATTAACAAATATCCATTTGAAAGAATAGCTTAGCGCACTCATCTCCAGTCACTTAGCAAGCCCTGGTAAACAGAGGTTAATTCATCTCAAAGTTTTGTGAGAACTGGGTTACAAACTTTCCCAAGAAAAAGCTGTCACACTAACTTGTTACTATGTTTCAACATACCAGGTTAGTTGACACTTACTATCTCAACAACACTGCAATGGACTGGAAGTTACGACATGGGCTACAATCTGATTTGGATGCTAAAGGTTTGGAATATATGCCTCAACTGTCTAATTAAATACAGCCGAAATGCAACTTTCAGGGCAAAGTCTTAGATGTAGAACAATATCAAAAGCATTGTTTCTCTGAAAATTCAGTAAGCAATATATTCTGAATTGTTGAGGGAACCATATCCTCTTTTGTGCTAAGAGTAGGCATTAAGCCCCTCTAATAAATAGAAAATTTATTGTCTTTAACATAAGCCCTTTGAAGAATAAACGAAGCTTATCAGCAACAGCAAAAAATGTTACAATTCACGCTGTTAGTTCAATGGGGTGTGCAATTATAAGAGTATTTTCAAAATAATATCTTCTTTTTTTTTTCCTCTCTTGCCCCCAAAATGAAAAAAAGTTAGAAGATCACTATCTAGCAATGGTACTGTGCACTCCTGCAGTTTAAAACAGAGAGAAGGATACACAGCAGCCCAAAAGGATAATCTACTCAGTCAAGAACACAGTGTTAATAAATAAATATTCAAGTATGCAAGCTACACTTAAATCACAAAAACCAGGTATCCAGCGGGAAAACAAAATTTTGATCCAGCTATAACTAAAGACATGCTAGCACAACTGAGCCCGCAGCCAATTCAGGAGCAACCTACAGTGCATGAAGTGATAAATTTATACTAACCTACATGAAACCTTTTAGGTGTTTACACTGAATAGAAAACAATGCTGAAAATAAACAGTGGAATGATCTAAGAACAAATTGCATAATACATATGAACCTTGCTGCATTTTGTGTATCTATGAGCCTTTATACCTGGAAGAGCCCTAGGATGATGTCAGATCCTAAAAATTGACATTCCTTGAGAGCTACGCTATAATTAAAAAAGGTATCTAAAATTACTTTTCGAAAAGCATAATAACTTTAACAGAAAATTTGTTCATGTCACACTGTTGAAAATATATGGCATCCTCATAAAAAAAACATCATATTAATAGCTACACATGCAGTACAGCTACCTCAATTTTTATTTGCTAGAACAGTTACATGCTGGCCCAGGAAAATTAAAATGCAGGAGAAAACACGCTACAGCAAACCTTGAAAAGAAAAAACTTAAAGATACATGGGTCACATTAAGGTCTTCCTCTATCCTAAGTCGTCTTCTCTTGCTGCTCACTCATGCAAGGAGATCATAATTTTGTGGCAGTGATATTTCCACGGCAACAATGGTGACAGTGATGTCACAAATTCAGCCCTGACATAGCTTCAGGATCAAGTACAAGGAACAGATGGGATGCGAGGGAGAAAGCCCCTATTTAAACACAAATCTCTTTCACAAGAAAGAAAGAGGCATGAGCAAAGAAACAGGTGAATGGATCATGTTTTCAAGTATGATATATTCAAAAGATTATCCTAGCATGAAAATCTATTTAAAGGCAAGACCTACAATACAGGGTAACTGTCAAATTTGTAAGGCCTTATAATAAACCAACCCTGAAAGCTCCCTGTTTAGCATGACAAGCCTTGTGCTCCATTTCTAAAGTGGCAGTGAAGACAATACACTTTTGTCTCTTGAGAATTTGCTTTAAATAACTTTAACATTCAGATATATTAATTTGATACATCACTGTGCTCATAATACCATATGTAAATATGATGTCAAGCCCTTGCTGGAGTGAGTTTGTTATCTGAATTAGATATAATAGAAAATAAATTCAAACGAACTCTAGATGGATCACCAAGTACAGCAGGATGGTAACTGGAATATTCAGACGGCACAGGTTAGTTGGTAAAAGGGGACTGTACTTTTGTGCTGATCTCGGACTCACACAAGAACTAATACAACCTCCAGGCCATCTGAAATACCCCTAAACCACTCGCTGGTCACACGCCGCAGTCTCCAATGCTACTGGTATCAGACCTCCTTTCTGCCTTTGGCCACCCCATGGACAAACAACATCTGAGCCCACACTGGAAGGAAGGTATGATACCTATAAGTGGAACAGAAGAGGGTGCACCCAGAATACAGTCACAAATACAGCCTCCACATTAATTCACCGTTCAAGGAGATAGACAGCTTTCTTGAAGAAGACAGCTGTCTTCTTATGCTACTCTCCACAGAGAACTGTTGAACAGCACGGAACGCCCACTGAGGGAGGCAGGGGAAGTGACTACGACCAGTATTCAGGCATACGCAATCGTTCACAGGGCTGCAGATAATGAGAAGTGACTTCCTATGGCAGCAGAGTCAGAAAGATGCAAAAAAAAAATCAAGAGTCAAAAGAGAGATAAAAGGAATTAAAAGCATATAGATCCATGTTCTGTTAACAGAAGGAAAAAACCCCACATCTTTCAAGATTAAGACCTGAAAGGATTATCAACAGTCTAGCTCTTAGAATCATAGAATCACTAGGTTGGAAAAGCCCTTAGAGATCATCCAGCCCAACCGTATCTGTCCACCACTAAACCATATCTCTCAGCACCTCATCCACCCGTCTCTTAAACACATCCAGGGATGGTGACTCCACCACCTCCCTGGGCAGCCTGTTCCAGTGTGTGATAACCCTTTCGGTGAAGAACTTCTTCCTTACATCCAATCTAAACCTCCCCTGGCGCAGCTTTAGTCCATTCCCCTCGTCCGATCATCTGTTATTAGGGAGAAGAGACCAACACCCACTTCTCCACAACCTCCTTTCAGGTAGTTGTAGGCAGTGATCAGGTCTCCTCTCAGCCTCCGCTTCTCAAGGCTAAACAAGCCCAGTTCCCTCAGTCGCTCCTCATAAGACATATTCTCCAGACCCTTCACCAGTTTTGTGGCCCTTCTCTGGACACGCTCCAGGACCTCAATGTCTTTCTTGTAGTGAGGGGCCCAAAACTGAACACAGTACTCGAGGTGCGGCCTCACCAGTGCCGAGTACAGGGGGAGAATCTTAGGACAGAAAGGAAGAAAGGGAATAAAATCTTAAAGCTGAAGGTGGGCCTAGGCTGAGATGTGAACAGGCCCTCAGGAAGGGATATCAGGTGGAGGCAGAGACTAAATGCACAACACAAGGAGGATCAGATCAGAAGTCAAGTAGCTAAGCAGGGTTCACAGACATCATCTATGAAATTACTAAGGTAAAAATTGCAAAGGGAAGAGAACAGAAGGTAAAATGCACCATGATACAAACCACAACAAGAATCAGAGAGTTAGGAAAGCCCACCTGACTCCCCAAACCATGACTGTATCAACAGCAAATCAGAAAAGCAGGCAATAAACCAAAGGACACTGGTGGTCACAAAAACAAAAACAAACAAACAAAAAAAACTACTACACACAACCACCCACCCCACCCCACAACTACCAAATATGAAAATAGCCAAGGACTGCACCAGGACCAAGATACCAAGATGTCATTCCACAAACAAGTTAACAATCTTAGGGGGGAAAAAAAAAAAAGCAGAGGAACTTGAGGAATCATTAATGGATAATATGTAATACAACAGGTACAGAAAGGCCTGTTGGGATTGTCAGGAAAAGACTTAACGAACCACAGCTGTTTAGCTTCAACAAAAATTATTCTTGTAAACATATTAGGCACGTACCTGTGACACTACTAAAAGAAACATTAGAAGAAATAAAAAAAAAAAGGTAATAGTTTGGGACTATAAACTTCTATAGGCTTCTGACTGGTTCGAGTCACAAATTCTAGAACCAACATCCATTAGCATAGTAGGATAAGAAATATACCAAATTTTAAGATGTAGTTTATTGTTTTTACAGTTGTGATTAAGACACAGCTGTCACAGACTAACATGACTCCAACACAACCCCAACAAGACTTCCCTCCCTGTGTTTTTATAAGGCGAACAACCTTGGATGAGAGCACAAAGCACATTTTCCCCAACGGACTTTCTAGAGGTCACTCTAATTACAGCACTGGAAATCCCATCTTCTTTTTATGCAAGAGGGAGAAGAGCCTCTCTCAGATGACTCTTGCAATACTACATCTCTTTTACCCTGTGCTTACAGAGATGTGAAACTGACGGCTAATATAAGCTCAAGTCAGCACTCTCTGCTATTTGCAGCATGTATCAAACCAAAGCAGCTGCCAAACAAGAGCTAGAAATAAAGGCTCTTTCTGCTGTTCAGAAGAGAACTTATTTTCTCCCTATCACCCTGATCAAAATTAACATTCCACTGATAGAAGTCAATTGTTCTGCTAAAATTAAATCTTACACACAATCAACTTTAAGACTGAAGAACTGTAGAACATGCATTCCCAGCTCAAGCTTTGCAAGTATTTCCCTCAGAACAAAAATATTTTTACAATAGACAAAACAAAAACATAACAATAAAACCCACAACTACTATGAATTAACACATTAATAGATTTTAAAAAGGAATAAAATAAACATAGTCTCTTTCTAATAAAATCCCAATCCAACAGTAATTCAAAACATACAGTAACACTAAATCAGGATGGAAACTATTTTTTGCCACCTCTCATTTCTATAAATAAATATTAATAAGCACGGTATATTACCTTCATTTTCAGATGCTTGGCACTTTACTTTCAGCACCAAATCAAAGGTACGTTCTGGATTTTCCCTAGAAGAACACAATTGATCAATTATACAGTGTTTCTACAACGTTGTATCTTTTCCATTCTATTTGTACAGAATAAAATTTAAATAAATAAAAAATCATTAAAATTAAATTAGAAATCAGATTAGTTCTAAGGAAGAACCAAAAAGTCAAATTTCCTTGTACAGCCCTACAAAAAGAAGGAAGATAAACAAGCTGTGTAATTTAAGTGATAGTGTCACCTCATACATCAAGCAGTTTTTAAGTCACTCCATCATATCACACCCAACAGTTGGAAAAAAAGTGCTACTAAAATCCCTTATCAATCAGTCTGAAACATATTAATGGTCATGCGCAGCCCCTCCTCAAGCTGTGTTTTATGTCTACCTAATAAAAATAGGCCATCATTAGACTTCCATTTTAATTCCACAAATTTAGCCACTGCCCTTTAAAGGCGTATGATTGCCACCATAAGGCTGAGAATCACTTAGCTTCCTCTTTCACTAGACACTTATTGTCTACTTTGACTTCAAAGGCTGAATTTCAGGCGTGATTCAGAGAGTGCGAAAATATTAATACAATAACTAGGGATGGACTCAATCCCGAGCTCACCAGGAAGATGGAGTCTCCATATCTGCAGCAGCCATCATGGTCAGCTGTGCATGATGGCTAATGCCTCTTTCACCTTCCCAGTAAATACACACCTGATAATTAAGGATTGCACATGCTAATAGTAATTAACACTCAACCTCATCCCAAACTAAATATTTACTAAAACAGTTCTAAATGCCATTCCTATACCACCCATCTCTCTGCCTACCAAGCACACTGCTATTTATATTAAAAACAAGTGGTATAACCGCACCCATATCAATTATCTATTTAACCACATAAAAGGCTCTCACTTGAACTCCCTTCTTGGGTAATGCTCCCACTGAACTCAGCTGCAGTTTTAGGCAATCAAAAATATCCAAGTTTCTAGAACACTTCAAATAAAGCAAGCAGCAAATTAACACACTGTTGTTTCTTTAAAGAAAGTTTTGAATGAAATCCAAAAGCTGAGCTGGGGAAAATTTCAGCTGTCACAAATCATCAACTGAGATACGCAATTATAGTCTAATTCAGATTATGGAGACATAGCCCGCCCGTATCACAATCTTTCATTGCATTGTATTTTGAAGCATTTAGTTGAGAAAATCTACTGATCCTGTGTGCAGGAGATCAAATTCTGCCCTGAGCTACAACCACCTAAATCCAGGATATTGGAGATTTACCCTGGCATTAAAGCCCGTTCATTGTTCCTCTGGCTGGCGAGCAGGTTCAGAGTGAAACTGGTAAGGCTTGGCTACACTGAGCCACGCAGAAAAGCAAAAATCCTTCCTTTAGAAGAAATGATATCTCCCCATGGCGTTACTCTAGCTCGGGCACAGGGTTTATACTCTCGGGCTATTTTCCCCTTCCTGTTCTTGTTAACCAGACCACACCACACTGGGTTTGGAATAGATTCAAGGGTTCCAAACTTTGAATGAGTGCTTCTAGCTGAATTAACCTCCTGAAGCAAGCTCTTTGAAGTAACACTGCCTTCCGTCTTTCACTATACCACGCCAAAGCTACTTTTGCAGAAAAACACTTCTAAATTTACTCTTTGCATCCCACTATGCTGAAGCATCAAAAACGTGTCAAACTAATCTCAGAACTGTCAGACTGTGTCTCATTTCCCTTACAGCTTAGGTAGCAGCATGCTTATTCATCATATTCATCACAGATTTTTTGTCCATTGCTGAAACCCGTGTTTGACATCTCATTGGTTTCCAGTGTCAGCCAGACCAGGCAGCCGCTCCTAATGGGTAAGGCTGGACAGCAGCGCTTCCGAACACCTACAAATCTCTTTTGCACC